TTTTTTTTGCTCAGATCCCACTACTCTATACAGAGCCAAAACTGAATACCAGAGTGAATTTGATCGCTTCTTGAAAACCAAGCTCACTGGTGAGAAACAAAAAAACAATCTATCATTCTTATTCTTTCCACTCAGAAATAAACAGTAGCTGCAAACGCACCTAAACACTCCAACAAGTAGAAGGCCATTATTACTTTTCCATTATATCATCACTGAAAGTATTAACATGTTAAAATGTCTTTTAAGGATCTATAACATTTGAAGCTGTTCAGATCATGGAGAAAGGCAGGAAGATTTTAGAGAAACATCTGGATGCTTTCGTCCCCAGGGGTAATTTGCATAACAGTCGGGGTTCTGCAAAGTATGAGGCAATAAACTTTTTGTAAGTCATCGCTGTGAAAAACATGCATTAGTTTCAGATCATTTATTGTCTTTTTTTTCTCTCCCTCAGAATTATGCCCCAACATTTGTGGTAAGTACTGAGACTGTGACAAATGATCTTTTAAGAGTGACTCATACAGATTGTTCCAGTGGACCGTAAAACTTTGATCAAGAGACGTGAGACAACTGTAAAATGCTTTTTGCTGTCATTTGACAAACCAATGACTTTTCATTTATTTATTTATTTTGGTGTTTGATTTGCATACTTTCCAGAAAAATGTGTGGTCTCATAGGGATCAGTACCAGGACCAATTTAATGTTCAGTATATGTAGGCTAGAAAGGTTAGCACCAAGTCCCGAGTTTTAGTCCATCAGGGAGTTTGGGACTTTCTGTGTGGAGTTAACATCTTCTTCCTGTGAAACAGCCTGCTCACTATTTCCATCTCACTCTGGGGGGCTGTTAGGTCTCTAGTTATGTCGTCGTCGTCCCCACCCCCACCCCACCCCCCACTTTCCATTACAATAAAGTATTTTGAACTGATTTAAAACACTTTTTTGTAATGGAAAGTGTTTCTAAGTGTTTTAATTTCTGTTTTCCTACTGGCTTTATTTTTATTTTTATCAGGTTTCCCTGCCTTTTTTTTTTCCTGATGTTAAACTTCAGTCTTCCACCCTTTAAACTTTTCAAATATCCTTTTTCTATTTTGTACTTGTTGTTATCTGCTGTTTTAGGTCATCCGTACTGTAGTTTTATTTAACTGTCTTGCCTATGTGTCTATTCTGTAATGTGTATTATGTGTTTGTTGTAAAGCAGTTTCTAAAACCCCTTTTACATAAGTGCAATATATATTAACTGTGTTATGCATGATTTTTTTTCTCTGTGTTGCTATACATCACTTTATATCCATGTAGTATTTATTTTAAAGGGTGTGTGTGCATGTTTGTGTGTCATTATCAGGGCTTCTAATTAGAAGAGTAATGGATTGCGTCTCTTGCCGCTACAAAGTATACATCTGTCCCTCTCCGACTGGACAACAGGACTGTGGTGGTATATTTTAATTTATTTGTTCTCGTGTTAATGCATGAGTGGATTAGGAGGAGTCATTCCTATGTTCTTTAGAGTGCATAGATATATGATGTCACGAGTCTATAAATGTGTGCTTACGCGAGTGACTGCTGCTGCCTGTCCATGTGAGACACTAATGAAAAAGATTATTCAAGTAATCCTGATTCAGACAAATGGAGGATCCCACTTTCTCCCTCCTGTCAACCTTTGTCCAGAGTATCCGGTGCAGGCTGAGGAAGGAGGCCAGGCTTTGTTGAATTGTTTTCTTCCGTGGCATCGTCTTCTATTGGGTAGACCAGAGTACCACTACTCCTGGGTGCCAGGAGCATCAGAGACTAATAAGGTCTCTCATTGCCATCACTGATGACAAATGAAGGCACAAACATTAAGAGACCTAAATACTTCAATATAGATACATTTTGAAGTATCTGCATTCATCTGTAGT